TCCTGTTCATCACTGTCGCATAGTGCAGTGGTTTGCAGATGGCGATGTATCGGTCATAAGCCATGAAGGTGAGGATGGCAATGTCTGCTGCAATGAAAAAGACGACAAAAAAAACTTGGGTGACACATCCAGAATAGGAAATCAGCCTGGTGTTCAGTATGGAATTGGCCATGGATTTGGGAACAGTGACAGAGATGGATCCGATGTCTAGGATGGACAGATTGAGGAGGAAGAAGTACATCGGGGTGTGGAGGTGGCTGTCAAAGGCTATGAGCACGATAACAAGGAGATTGCCAATCAGGGCTGCCAGGTATAGTATTAGAAAACTGGCCAAGTGCAAGATCTGCAATTCCAGGGCATCGGAGAACCCCAGGAGTAGGAACTCTGTCACAGTGGTGCAATTGGACATCATCATCCACAGTGCCTTTTGGGATGCCTGTGGAGGGAAAGGGAATGACTGTGTCAGGAGAAGAGGAAGCAAGAGAAAAAACACCATGTTTCCTGGCCACAATTCTACATGACTTGATTGTTTTAGAGGTCCACCTCATTTTCAGTTAAAAAGGAGTTTTCTGATAGAAATCAGGGTTCCCAAAGTGACAATATTTTTCATTATACATTTAAAAAAATTTTTTGGATAATTGTGGCAATTCTTCAAAAAAGTGGCCAGAAAAGTATTTTATTAGAGCTTTTGCCGACACCTTGTCACTACCACTCACTAGTGCTCATACATTTCCCACGTCTGTGAAAGTGGAGAAGTTGTCAGTGCACTATCACACTGGCATAAACTGCTGTAGCTCCTTTCTAGTCCAAGGGGCCATTTCAGTTCACATCTGGTGGATGTCCATTGCAAGTCCACGTTAACTGGGAAAATGGAATAATTACAATCCCAAATCCTATCATTTCATGAATGCCGGTTCCTGAATCTTACCCGTGGGCAGCTGAGCATGAAATTAGAAGTCAAAAAGATCATCCCATAGTATTTCCATTTTCCTAGGGACATAGAGCTTAAGATGCTGGCTGTGTTGAGGCTCTAAGTCATGTGGGAAGATTGCAATCAAATGACTGGCAGGATGTGCACAAGACTGTGTTCAAACTATCTTCAAGTCTCAGAAATATATATCAGCATGGGCTGTCAACATCCCTACATGGTCACTACATTATGTAACTCATCTACTTCAAAGATATTAGACCTTTTCTTTATACGTTTAGTCTGAAAATCTTCAGTGGCCAGGAAAGTAGATGACTCTTGGCACTTCAGTGGTTATTGATAAAGGGGGAGACATGCTAGCAGGGCAGATCCAAGCCCAGGGCAGGTTGTGATGCACAGGGCAGCTCTGCCTGCCATGCTGCTGACCTGTGGTCATGGCTATTTCCCCCCCTCCACAAAGGCAGTGCCTTGGGCTGCAGTCCTGTTTCCCTGCTGAGTTATATTACTGCAGAAATGGTAAACATTTCAGGACATAAGTCTGCTATTTTTCATGCGAATATTTCTATACTTACTTTTTCTACAACTGTAGAGATGTTATTAAATGGAGAATAAAGTTCTGAAATCATTTTAAATATAATTCATTATAATTTCTATAAAAGATCCTCTCTATTAAAACCCAAACATTATTGAATTGAATATATTACTTACTGTGCTTGTTTTAATGTTTTTGTCTTCAGTTTCCTACGTTAAATCCTAGGGCACCTTGATTACTGATCATCTACTCCTGCCTCCAGTCTCTTGCCCCCCCATCACTGTGCTATCTAGATGCCAGGGGTATAGGTTTCTCAGGGTTGTGCATTCCTCACTGTGCGAGAGAACTGAGAGGAGGAGATCCAAAATGATGAGTCCCTGAAGAAGAGCTGGGCGTGCAGCTGACTTGGAGTTTACTGCAATGAAGGGACTGAAGTCGCAGTCAGTGAGTTGTCTATGTATATGTTGGGAGGTCTTGTGGGACTGTTTCCCTAGAGCCCTGCATAGCTCAGAAGCAGAGTCCATGGGCAAACATGCTGGATTCACTGATATTGAAGCCAGAAGGACTCTGCAGAGTCTCCCACTGGATCTACTGCTGACCACATGTCAGAGGATCTCACTGTGGCTTGTAACAGGGTGTGTCCATCAGTGGGCCAATGTGTCTAGGCTTTGCAGCGTGGGGTGGGAATAATTTTTCCCCTCTTCCTTTGCTAACAGTGTCAGGGCCCTTTCTCCTGGCAACCCTGCCTTCCTCAGCAGCACTGTGTGTTTGCTGCAGCCCAGGCTAAAAGGTTTTCCATGTCCCCCCAAGGACATGCCAATCACCACATTTGGGAGAAGGAAGGAAGTTTACTGTAGGGACAAATGGGTAAAGACTTGTGGGGGATGAGGGTCTCTTCTCTGTAATGTGATAGCGGGGGTGGCCGAAGGGGCTGCGTTATTTCTATATCCTGAATGTGTTTAAAAGCACTTGCAGGAGCAGGATGCTGACAGTCTTCATCTAACACTTTTCCCTGTAGCAAATGTTGGTAGTTTTAGTGTCTGTGGGCAATATATACCTTGTAGTGGTGTGACAGGGTGTCTGCATAGTTTTAGAAACAGTTTAAACAAGGTTTCATAAGGGATAGCTTGTGTATGTAAAATGCTGCCTTAAGCAGGGTCCTGGGCTTCCAGAGCTGATTCCAATCTTACTTTTGTATTAGTCTGTGATTTATCATACTTGTCTTGTACATGGGACCATCCCCTGGCCAGTTCCCACATTTGGACTCTAAAGAGGAACACCGTCTCCCTTCCCAAGGAAGTCTTAATTAGAGTCCTGTCTGTTCTTTCTTCCTAAGTATTGCAAAGGAGGAGAGCACACAAGCCCAGTTGGATGCGTGGGTAGAAAGAGAGGGACCAATGACATGGTAACATGTGGTAGACGAACAGGTTAGGCTGACACATACTGACCTTAGCTTGGTAGAAAAATGCAATGATTTCCACATACATTTTAACATCGGAGGTCTGAAGCAATGGGGACAAGGGCCAGAGGTAAGCAGGACAAAGCCGAGTAGAGACAGGGAGAAGAGAAAAAATCCAAAACACCAATAAAGTAGGTTCAGTTTGGGTATCAGGAGAACGTCTTCACTGATGGACTAATGAGGCAGTGGACTAGACTGATTAGGAATGTTGTGCAATCTGCATCATTGGAGGTGTTCAAGGGGATGGAAAAGGGGATCAGGAAAGACTTTCTTTCCCGTTCCTTTTGCTACATGAGTCACGGGGTTTGGTTTCTACCACCTTTAGTAGCAGTGGGTGTTGCCTGAAATCAAGGTTGGGGATTTTGACTGATATGCCAAAGCTCCTGCTCAGACTAAACCCCCAAGGTCTTGATCTAAGGTGCCTTGCCCCATCACTCTGTGTTGGACAAATCACTATATTTGGGATGAAGAAGGAATTTCAACCTCCCCTTCAACCGTAGGAGGGGGTTGCCTGTTTGCTTTTATTAACCTGTTAGAAATGGCTTTTTATATGGATAGCTATGATCCTGGCTCAGGTACAGGCCTGGAGTAGATGACATCCTGGTGTCCCTGCCAGGTCTACTTCCCCTGATTCTGTGAGAAGTGAGGAGGGCTGTCTCCTTCTCCAGCTTCTAACATTTGTGGTCTGGGTGCTTTCTACAACTACAAGTTTGGGACTTCCCCCCCTTGTTCAAATACCTGAGCAAGCCTGTTCTTTTCTGCACACCTCTGGATATCAGCCAGCTCCCCTCCACACTTCAGGTGCCTTGTGTCCAGCCCCTTGGACTTGTACAGATGCAGCTTTTCTAAGTAGCTCTTAAACTGATCTCTTGCCAGTGTTCACTGCTCACATGCTCTCCAAACTGTGCTGCCCAGTGCAGTAGTCTGGGAGCTGACCTTCCCTGTGAAGACTGAGGTAAAAAAGGCATTGAGTACTTCAGCCATTTCCACATCATCGGTCACTAGGTTGCCTCCCCGATTCAGCTAGGAACCCATGCTTTCCTTCATCTTCCTCTTGTTGCTGACATACTTGTACAAATCCTTCTTGTTACTCCTCATGTCCCTAACTAGCAGAAACTTCAGCTCTCTTTGCCCTTCCTGATTTCGTCCCTGCATGCCTGAGAAATACTCTCATACTCCTCCCTAGTCATTGATCTAAGTGTACTCTTCTTGCAGCTTCCTCTGGTGGTCACTGAAGAATTCACTGCTGAGCCATGCTGGTCTTCTGCCA